TCCCTTTAACTGCAGTGCAGCCTCCCTCCACTAGCTGGAGATGTAGCTCTTATTGATATCTGCTGCCAATTCAGCACTTGAGTGACCCAGCACCAGGACACAACATATTATTGATATATCAGGCCACATCGATAACATTTTTAAAGCTAGTTCAACTAAGGAGTAATGTTGATCAAAAGCTGACACTCAGAACTGTACATCAAATTAACAGTTCAGTATACCCCAGATTTCACACGTTTGATCAGAGTGCCAGGCATCTTCATAAAACCAGCTAGTGGCAGTTTTGACGGCACCTGCTGGCAACAGGAAATGACATGTTTCAGACCTTGATGGACACTCCACCCAGACCCTTTGATACACCTCAACCTGCACCAAAGTGAGAGGACCAGATTAACGCCAAACAAGAAATATTAATTTCAACCCACCATTGCAGACATTTTCCTACATCACATCTTTACAGTAATGATTTTAGTATGACTTCATTTTCGTCGGTAATTACTTTATTACGACTATATTCTTGTAAGTACTTTATTACGACTTTATTCTCGTTAGTAGTGGCTTTATTCTCATTAGAAATGACTTTATTCTCATAAATTAACGACATTAAGCCCTGAGCTCCCTCTTCTCTTAGGTTCCTCTGGACTGCTGCTGCAGACATGAACATCAGCCTCACCGACATTAATAACATAAAGCTAGAGTTAATCACTATTACGCCTGCCGACTATAATCCCATTAAATTAATTTAACATAGTCCATAATTACTTATACCCTACTCCTGTAAACTGAATTCATATTGTTTCATCATGACTTGCTCTGCAACCACAACTCTGTATGAGCTGCTGCTGTTGTTGTTGTTGTTGTTGTTTTAAAGGGGACCTGCTATAAAATTGTAATTTTGGTTTTTTTTTGTGTCAGATAAGGTCCATATTATGTTCGTCTTATGTTGTAAATGTGAAAACAAACCGTTACGTCGTTTGCATTCTGTAAAGGTTTAAAATAAAGGAACGAGTAAACCAGGCCAATTGAAAAAGCAGGTCAATGTTACGTTGCGTCGACGTTGCTCATTATAATTCACGAGCGCATCCTCGGTGAGCCGCGCCCACTCTCTCGTTCTCGTACTCAGTCACAGCCAGAGCGAGACCCAGCTACCACTGTATCTGCTATGGGTCTCTTCCAAACGACCAGTGTTTCCTTCGGTTCACTGCCGGGAAAATGAACTTAAAACTGGGCAGAATGAATGAGAAAACACCGCTGGAGATCTCCGGCCTCTTCCTCAACTTCCACCTCCTCTTCGGACTCGGGGTCTAAAATATATGGTTTAATACCTGCCGTTTTTAGCCTTTAGCATAAGGTGACCAGACTTCCCCAATTTCCGGGGACAGTCCACGTATTGGATGACCTGTCCCCGGCAAAAGCTGTCCCCGAAAATGTCCCCGATTTAAGCGTTTCATGAATGAGAACAAAAATGTTGCGTGTGGGCTCGAACAACGGTTATTACAGTAGCCGAATAGGTAGGAAGCACAAGTTAGCAGTCCTGAACAACAGTTCTTATGGGGGTTATTACAAGGGGCATGCGCTGCTACTAAATAGTACCGAGACTTTGTCTGTGATCACACAGCCCCTGCAGCCCCTGCACCGCCGCAGCCGCGGCCGCCGCCGCCGCACCAAATATCCCCGGATATCATTACAGACACCTGGGCACCTTACTTTAGCACACATTAGCATATGCTATTAGCATTAGCATAATAACAATGGATAAACCGAAATCCGAACCTCCACTGCTGAGCCAATCAGAGCACAGCAGGCTTCACAGCAGCGATCCAATCAGAGCAAAGCTCATTACCATAAATGTTAATGAGCCAAAACCAGTTGGTTTTCCTGTAAGGTTTTTCAGGCATACTAAAACAAACCATCAAATAACTTTTCAGCTAAAATTATGTTGCAAACATGATCAGAGGACATCAAGGATTATGAAAAAATGATAAAAATGGGTATGAAATTTTGGTGGCAGGTCCCCTTTAATGTTGCTGCCATCCCGTCTCTCTCTCTCTCTCTCTCTCTCTCTCTCTCTCCCTCCTACTCCCTTGTTTTCTTTCTCTCCTCCCTCCCACTCCCCTCTCTCTCTCTCCCTCCCTTTCTCCCTGATATTCCTCCCCACCTCAGCAGTGGCAGGTGGCTGTCCAACATGAGTCTGGTCCTGCCCAAGGTTTCTACCTGTTAAAAGGAATTTTTTACTTGCCACTGTCACCCATGTTAGATGAGATGGGTCAAATCTGTCCCATCATAAAGCTGGGTCTTAATTCATAGAGCAATAAGCGTGGTCTAGACCTTCTCTTTTTTTTTGGAAAGCGTCTTGTTGCATATGACTGTTGTGATTTGGCGCTGTATAGATAAAATTTGATTGATTGATGTCATGGGTAGTTTCCACATCTTTCCACATCTGTGAAGTTTCCATTAATGCTGAACAATATCTACAGGTTTAGGAGCAACATATGCTGCCATCCAGACAATGCATTTTTCAGGAATGACCTCCATATTTCAGCAAGACAATGACCAACCACTTCTGCTGGGATTACAACTCTTCACACTCAGTCTGGGCTCAGACTTCATCCTGACAAAGTTAAAGCTGCAGAGTTGAAAATTTTCTCTTTTTTCAGTTCTTTTGTACGTGTGTTTTGGTTTTAAGTTTCTGCATTTGAATTTAAAAATCTCACACAGTGTCACCTTGTAACTAGGTGCTTTATTAGAGTCATGACACTGTTTACATCCCACACTGCACATTATCAAATCACAACATGGACACTGCTTCAACGTCATTACATTATTTACAGAGAAAGAGAAAGGGGAAAAAAAAAAAACTTCACATACTGTATATCATTGATGAGGGAAACTCAGTCTGTCAGTCAGAGCTGCTATTTGAGTCTTTAACGTCCTAATTACACATAAATATATTCCATTAAATAAAGTGGAGACAGCATGTGTTGGTGTCAGTTCATCAGCAGTGGCCTGAAGCTGCTTTACTCTTGCACAGTCTGCTTGATTATCACTGAATCCTGTTAATATCCATTGCAGAGCTCCTGTTTCACATGGACACGTTCCCATCTCAAGTTCTAACGCTTTGCCGCACCCCTTTGGCATCGTCATTCGATGCACAGGCTGGCTTCTCTGCACCTTTCTCAAATGCTCATGCAGCTTTTAATCAACCCGATTTTCAGGTTGAGGAACAAAGACCTTTATTGTTCAGGCTTTGGAACCATAACCTGATTAGAGAGACGTTGAAATTTTATTTAATCAATCCCATGATCAGATCCATGTGTTATTACTTTTCTCTATTGTAAACAAACTTTTTGGGACAGAGGTCGTTTAGTTTGATGGGACAAGCAAAGGAAAAAAACAACATTTATTTGACTTTTTCAAAGATCTAGCACTCCAGCATACTTATACTCTTACCTAGAGATTCCATTTAACTTAACTTTAAAATGTAAACACAAGTCTTGTTTATCGGTATAATAATGCATGTTTGGATAGGTATTGTGGTTTTCGATCACTCACTGTTGACCATGATCATTGTTGGAGAAACTTTGAGATTATAATGGGTGTATATTGCGTGGAATCTTTGTGCCAGAATGGGTGACATCGTTGCCTTAGAGTAAGAGAAGTTGCATCAAATTTTCTGAAACTTTTCTCTTTCCATGCTTCTCCTAGTCACAAATTACAATATACACGCATGATTTTTCCCACAGTTGTAGACACACTTGTTTTGTCTCTAACAATCTGTTGATCTAAGCAGAGAGATTCACAGAATTTAAAAACTAGCCTATACATATAGCAATGTCTCACTCTGTTCTTTTTTGCTGCTGAAACAAAGATTGAAAACAAGAGAGCGGCAGAAGGGACTCCTGTTTATAACTTGCAAGTATGTCCAAACTATTAACTGTAGAAACACCAAAATCATATCAAAGCATCCTGTAGCCCAAGTCCTTATGACGACCACAGTCTGCTTTTTTTCGGGTAGGAGCTATAGTTTCATCAGAATAAGCCCAAATGTGAAACCAAAGCTGAGACTTTTTCTCATTTTGAATGCCTCAGCCTGTGGGGGTCTATCAACATGGGCAAGTTGCTGTGGCAACCTGTGAGTCTCAGGCCAGGCCCACAGCTGAGACCAATTCACTAATCAGGGACTGCCCCCCCCCCCCCCCAGTAAAGTCAATGGGACAAGCCCAAAAAAAAGAGTGCAATTTTTTTAATTTTTCAAACATCTACTGCTCTGGCTTATTTTTCTTTATAAATAAATGCTACTTGAAAGAGGAATGTTTATTGTAGGCCAAGGTGTGCTCCTTGTATGTAGGCCTATATAATATTATGATACTACTGGTATTAATTATTTAATTCTTATCATAATGAGCGCACCCCGGCCCTTTCAAAATTTCCCAGAGGGGATTTCTAGTTTTCTATCTATTTGAAAACGTCCTTAAAACGCGCATTGTTCAATGTTAAAAAAAAAAAAGTAAAATAAAATAAACGGACGGTGAAGGTCTACAGCAGGCGTCACATTTTGAGGCTCTTCAGTATCACTTTCGCCTGAATGTGGCCGCTTTTGTTTTGGTTCTGTTTTACGCTGGGAAAAACTCCATGTTCCCGGTTTACAGAATTAGCCTATACCAAAATGAAATCAAAATAACAGAGCTTGTGGCGCAGGAATAAACCGAATAAAGAAAATTTGAACCTTCTTGGCTTCGAATTTACAGAATAAATCAGAGATGAGACCCTGCGTGAGTCCTTGTTAATGTCACGCTGTACATCACGACGTCAGGTTCCATCAAAAACTTGAACATGCAGAGTGTCAGGTCTACAGACAGGTTAGGAGGGTGGGGGTGACGAAGATGATGATGGCGTCACTAGGGTCCATTAGCGCGCAATCTTATTGGCCCATCACCATCTGAGTCCTTGAGCTGGAGGAGGAGAGAGGAAGAGAAGAATGGTGAAGGGACAGGGGATCGCTATTGTTTTAGCTCCAGAGCCCAGACATGCTGAGGCCATCCTGTCCGTCCTTTACTCTTCTTATCTGCAGCTGACGAAGAAGAAGACGAGGAGAAGGAGGAGGTTGTCTTCGGGATGTCCACCTGCAAACACATGACACGTTAGATTCAGTAAATAAAACTTATGTCAAAAGAAATATTTCTTATTCTTTAATGATGTTTAAATTTAAAGCCTACAAAATTCCTCTTATTATCATTTATATTTGATCATCTGTTTCTATTTCTGACTGTAGAACAGCTAAGTGGTTCAGAAAAGCTTACACATTTCAAGGACGTTTTTAAAACCCTAACCTGGAGAAAACATATGTCCCAAGCTTTTTCATTTATAATTTATCAAAATAATTCATTAAATATATAATGAAGTTATTATTATTATTGTTGTTGTTGTTGTTGTTGTTATCATTATTAATATTATTATTGCAATATATAATGTAATCTCCGTGTTTGTTGAGACGGTGACAGTACAGCCGCTACTCTTCTTCCACGAAATTCTCTCCTCCCTCTCACGGACTATTTAGATCATATTTTATGGTGCCCCCTGTCTTTAAACGCTAAAACAAATCACTTTATTGCAGCAGAAATTATGTTCCAGCAGACATGCGGGGGAGAGTGTGAGGCAGTGAAGCTGAGCTCAGTGGGTAAACTCTCCATGGTCTGTATAATCTAGCGCACTGGTCGCCCTCTAAAATCACAGACGCTATGCTCAGATGATTGACAAATTAAACACTTTAGAATTGGACAGAACATAGATGAGAACATGGCTAATCCAAAACTGTGGCTTTCAGACTGAAGCTTAATTTAATCCTGCTTTTACCACAGCTTTATTCCACTTATTTATTTGTTGAGTCTTTAATTATTGAGAAATACTGAGGTTTAAGAAACACATTTCAAACCGGATATTATCATCTCGCTGCATATCTTTAGCCAGACTAGCTTTACAATTAAAGAATAACAGATCGATAGAGAGTTTTCAGCTGAAGAATTGGGTTCCGAGTTTTCCTCTCTGAGTGGAAAAACAGCCAGATGGAGACATGGAGTCGGTTGGCCCAGCAGTAAACCTGGCGCTGACTGGGGCTCGGCTCCTTGATGAGGTAAAGAGGAGCTTCAAGAAGGAGAGTGCTTCAGCTTATCACCTGTTATTTATAACTGATCAGATATCATACAAGCTAAATGCTGTTGCTTAGAGCTGCTAAAGTCACAAATAAATCACTGAAAATCCCACATAATGATGGAAACATAACTAGCAAAATAAATAAATTAACATCCAAGTGACAATAGTTTCCAGTTGGAGAATGAACTGATTTAGGGGGAAATACAAATACAAAACACTTATGGGCATGATTCAAAATTTATAAGTTCCTACCAATATTTTTAAAATGCTGTTAAACATGGTTAGTCTGTTTCTTGCAGATTGTGATAGTCCAGTTTTACGCTTTCAGTATCATAGTCATTTTTTTTTTAAATCGCGGCACGTCTTTAAAATTCTTTTTGAAGTCATGCCGCAGGCGCGGCGTAAATCAGGTCCGCCGCGCAACAAGGCCTTCCCAAGCACAGTTTGGTATTTTGGTGAGCAGCGCAGCCCTGCGTAAGTATCCCCCCTCCCTAACTCAGCTTCTCCCAGCGGCATAAGTCGTAGGGAGGGAGGAGAATGGGTGTGGAGTATGTTTAATACAGCCGAGACCTGTATTGACCAATAACATCAGCTCCTCTCCTCGCCTTTAAATCCGCCACCGGCAAGGTGTATTACAATTTTGGTGAAGTAGTCAAAGAGATCAAGAGATGTCTGAAGACAGTAATGCCACACGATGGTGACAGAAGGCAGCCTCTCAACAAGTGTCGCTGTAAGTGCTGCAGAGGGCGTCCTGCACAGTCTCATATAAGCACAAAAGGATTTGGTGTGTGTAAGGTTGGACCCACTGGTGAGACAAACACCCTTTCCACAAATAAAGACACTGACATAAAGTTGCACATATTTAAACTTCACGTGACAAAGGTGTGTTGTGCGTACAGATCACAACATAAATTCCAAAAATGGCATTAAAATCGGAACCATCTGTTCGTAAATGACGAATCGCGCTCTGGCTCTTTCTTTCATAGATGTTGGCATATAAATTAAATTTGGCTCGAAAAACTGAATATTATAATATTCGTATGTAGGCTTAAAGTAAATAACTCATCTGATCACTGAAACAAATCATCTGTTCAGCAGCTGCAGCAGGACGGGGAGAGTACACGGAGACATGTCCAGGTCCAGCTGCGCGAGAAATAAGGTTGTGTGTAAGGTTGTCAGGTTGTGTGCCAAACGCGCTCATCAGATCAGATATAGATCAAAATATATCTATATAGATCTAAATGAATGTGCTGACTCAGATTATTAGTTGTTGATTATTTATTGCACTGAAATGTGCCTGACACTGTGGAAACCTGCCAGTGAGGCATCGGTGACGTATGCCGATACGCCGCTGGTCTTCCAAAATACCTCTAGACCAGCTGCGCTCTGCCTGCACTGAAAGCTGACCAGGTTTGAATCGGCAAGCTTTCAGCGCACTTTATACACCACCGGTGAGCACAAAAATGTCACTGCGCCAGCTGATTCTGTTGACGCCTCCCTCTGCCACGCCACCACGCCCAGCTTGGCGGACCTCGGTGCGCCTCAGTCTCACTGGCATACACGAAAATAGAGCGTAAAATAATAAAAGTAAAACTGTAAACATGCTTTAAGTCTTAAATGCATACAAAAATATTAAAAATACTATTATTACTATTAAAAATAGATGGTATAAGAGGTAATGAGAATTTTTATTGTTGCATAATGTGCAGAAAGTCTTCTTAAGTGGCTTTCACAGCTGACAAAGCGGACTTGGTTGGATTGGGGAGCTGAAGGTCGCAACATTGTTGCATTTATCACTTGATTCAGTTCTGCTTTCACAGAACCGTGATTTCTAAAGTGCACCCAACTTTCTGAGCAGCATCACGTGGTTGAAAGGGGTGCTCGTCAATTGGACAAAGTAGGAGGGGTATGTAAACTCACGGATTACAAACAGGGGTGGACTTGCCTAGCCTGGCCGGGCCATCCTGTTGCGTGAATCACTTGATGTTCCTTCCCACAACAGTCTGGACTTCGGCCCATAGAGAGCGTGTATTCCCGATCAGAAAATAACCGGGCCAATCAGAGACCGTGTTTCCACTGTTACCCAGACAACAGGGAAATGCAGCCCCTGATTGGTCCATGTGTAGTGGTGACGTCTAACACATGCTGCGGGACTTTTCAAAGCCCCGTTCATTCAGAACGCCATTAATTCTGCAGTTGACTCTGCAAAGTCGGCAGAAATCGTTTATATACGCAGATATATACGGATATAAGCGATTTCTGCCGACTTTGCAGAGTCAACTGCAGAATTAATTAATGGCGTGGGTTATTGTTGTTCAGACAATTGAGCTACGCTAGCTAGCAACTGGCGGTCACTTGTTGTCATAGCAACAAGGGACGCCGTGCTTCCTCTACCCAAGATGCACTGCGTATGCATTGCATGTAGTGTCATTACATACATTTGGTCCTGTGTTTGGTCCAGTGAACTTTCACACTGCATACAAACCGAACCAGGGTTCACTTGCAAGCGAACCAAGACCCACATTTTCAGGTGGACCAGAGTTCGCTTGTTTGGTCCGCACCAGAGTTCAGATGAGCTTTCACACCTGCCCAAACGAAGCGGACTATCCGAGGAAACGAACTTTGGTCCATTTAAAGCGGACCACACAGCTCTGGTGTGAAAGCAACTTTACTCATTTCTAACCCAAAAATAAAACTCTGAATGCACTACATTTTAACTGCAAACAAACAAAAAAAACATTATTTCTCAGCAAAACTATATTTTTGCGCATGGAAATATTATCATATCATATGATGCATCTCCTAAATGAAATGAAGCTGTTTACATACACAATAGCAAAACTGCATTCCTAAATAAATATGTAACAAGAGATGAATCAGAAATATACTTTTTACATTGCTGTACATTGAAACTGTAATGTGGTACATGCAATAGTGTTGCATACGGTCAGTTATTTATTTCACAATAAATTAGCTATGAACTTTTTCCTCAGAACACGTCATTCATATGTGCACATATGTGTAGCCATATTTCATATTTCATTATTTGTGAAATTTTGTATGTGTACATAAATTCTACATGATTATAAGAGCATTTTCATTATTATTAGACCATTAGATACACATTTGTGTCTCTTATTTACAACATTTAAATAACAGTTTTATTGTGTGTTTTAATTTATGTGCATATGTATGTATTTATATTTTTTATATGTGATTCATACTGGCAGTTATGTATCTGCAGGTTTTTTTATACTGTGCAGCATTTTACAAATTGATGTCAACATGCTTTATATTTTTTGTAGAATTTTTTCAATGCTAATAGGCCCTTCTGTTCTATGAATCCTTTTGATTATCATAGTGCAAATATGGATAATAATATAATCATTTACATATTTCGGTTGTATTATATATTCTGGTTGTACTTTAAATATGTTTTTAAGTTTGTCTCTTCAATCCACTTTTTCTGAGCACTAAGCGACTGATACCAATTTATTTAACAAATCATACACTAACTTTTGTAATATTAACATAAAACACATTAAATTGACTGATCAATTATCTGTTTGTATCTGTACTGCAGCAGCAGAATCAGCAGTATGAGAGAGAGAGAGAGAGAGAGAGAGAGAGAGAGAGGAGTGAAATGTCTTGCGATATTAGCAGCTCCACACCCTCTGATCAGTGATCTCAGTTTGAGTAAAAATAGCTCTCTTGCTTCAATCAGTCACATCAATCAATCACACTTCCTCCTGATCAGGACATCATTACTCTGCTAATCATCTGTGTGTGTGTGTGTGTGTGTGTGTGTGTGTGTGTGTGTGTGTGTGTGTGTGCGCGCGCGCGCGCGCTCATGCACACCCACAATAAGTGCGAAAATCCCTTTTCATTGTTTGGAGTAACACAGTATAATTTCAGAGAAGAATTCCTGGGGGGACATAAAAATGCTGTATTTTTCTAAGTCCATATCCTACCTGTCTACAGGTTTGTTTATGCTTAACCAGCAGTCCAAAGAGTGGTGTTAGGTAGTAGGTGTCAAATACACCATATGTGACCTGACAGAATTTCTTTGCTCGGCATAAACACTGGTTTGATCATCGTTACAGCAGCTTTGTCTCTCAGTGCCCTGATCTGTGCTTTGACTTTTCAGTGCTTGTTTTCCATAAGCATGTTGTTTTCTGTGGATTTTTTTTTTAACAAACCTCAATGTAATTTAAATCTGTCTATGAACTTGATGTTTCAGTGCACACACACACACACACACACACACACACACACACACACACACACACACACACACACATTTAGGAGAGAACAACACCCAACTACAGTAAATATGCATAATAAGCATATGCATGTTTTGCCATGAATGTGTACCCTTACTAAAAAAAGTATGTTGAATTGTACTTCAAGTATCCTTTTTTTTATACAAAGTATGCTTTCAGTTTACTTTTTATGCTCTTTTCCGAAATATACTTAACAAAGTTAACATTAAGTATACTTGGCTAAAAATATTTAACCTATTATACATAAACTTTTGATCAATATATACTTAAGTATGTATTTGTGCCTTAGGTTTAAGTATCCTTGGTCAGGGAATACTTCCATAAAAAGATAAGCAGTACAAGCTAAGTATACAAATTTGTACTACTGTTAAAATACTAGCATACCAAAAGGTAATTTAAATTATGCTTTGATTTTTTAAGTGCACCCCATGTTAGGGACTGTCTTACCCGCTGTGGTCACAGGTTCAATTCCTGTCCTAACCATGTGCCCCCCCCCCAAAAAAAAAATAAAAAATAAAATAAAATAAAATAAATAAATAAATTTAAAAAATATATAATAATAATAATAATAACAATCAAATTAAAATTAAAATAAAGTAAAACAAAAAATAAGTAAATAAATAAAGGTATGCCTCAGAGTGCACTTTTGTAAACTAAAAAGGGGACTAGAAATACCAAGAAATTTACTTTCAGATATGCTTCAAATGTACTTTGGGCCAAATTGGGCCAATTAAGTCCCAAGAAGTACACTAGTATTATCTGACATCTGACTTGAAAATAAATGTAAAAAGTGGTGATTTTAAATGGAGGACAATAAGGAATGGAAATTAACAGTCAGAATGCAATAAGAAACAAGATCTTTTCAAGTAAATATCAAAGTCAAATTTTTAACTACTTTCTTGTTGAATTAATAAATGTAGAATAGAACATCAAACTAAAAGTAACAATAGCCTATATAGAGAATTTTCCAAATCTGGATCATCTCACTTAAGGATTCTGAAATAGTGTAATTTTTGTGTCATAAATGAGAGGATGCGAATGTCAGCATGTCACCTGTCTGTCCGCTCTGACTGTCACAGCCTGTTGCATCAGGCAGAGAGGAGGCTGTGTGTCAGCCACAGGAGTAAAAACCTCTAGACAGTCTGCAGATTCATTGCAAACCAAGATGAATATGCTTTGTACAGTACAAATTTCTTTTTAGCTTAACAATGAACACCATGTTAGTTAATTCAACCAGTGTGCAGCTGTGTTTATTTAAAACATGCTGCAAGACTTTGGACAAAAGAGTTTATATTTATTATCTAGCATATCTGATGTTCTGATGGGCTACTTGGGTTTGTTTTGGAGCAGCCTGGTGCTGGCAGTTCCCTCAGGATCCATAAAATTTGATTATGAAAAAGTAAGAAAAACTGACTAAGTCAAATTTAAAAGTATAGCTGCGTTTTGATGCTCTCCTTTATTTAAAAAAAATCTAAACCTCTGTGAGCAAGAAGCCCAAAAAGTAAAATAATGTTAGCTCATCTGTAATTCCACATTAGGAAAAGCCTTTGTACTGTTATACAGTGGCTGTGAAAGTCGACCTCACAGAGAAATATAATAAAATATATTCTAATATGTAAAATAAAAAAACTATGCAAAAATTTGAATGATAAAAAATGATGAAAAGTTAAACAGTTAATAAGAATGCAAAACTGTAAAACAAAAAAACATTTCACTAACGCCAAAAGAAAAAATCAATGCAACACTGAAAAATGCACAAAAACATTTTGTATTTTGTGAAATTTTAACCATATAAAACATTTCAGCGTTCAGATCAAGTTTTTCCTCAGTATTCAATGAGATCATTTACATTTTTTAAGTTTTTGGCATTTTATGTTTTTTTTTTTTTTATATAAGTAATAAGGACCTTTTTCATTTAAATTCTGTTGCATTTTACAAAATAGCTTGTGATCCTCAGGTTTTAAACTGAAAAATGCACAAAAACATTGTTTATTTGGTGGAAGTTTAACCATATAAAAAGCTTTCAGAGTACGGATCAAGTCTTTCTGTATTTGATAAAAAGATTTTTCATTTTTGAAATAATTTGGTGGTCAGTGACATTTCTTTGTGTTTTGCTGTGAATTTTTTTTGCATATAATATTTCTGTAGGCCTATGTTAAATTATATTGTTTCACTTTATTTTGCAATGTCATGAAATATGCAGGTTTCTTTTCACTTTCTAAAAATTTCCTCACTGTTTAATGAGGTCTCACTTTTTTTTTTTTTTTTTAAGTTTTTGCCATTTTCTGAATTTCATTGAGGAGTAATAAGGACACTTTTCAGTTCATTTCTGTTGCGTTTTACAAAATAGCTGCTGGTCCTCAGGAACAGTTCCTTGTTTTTAAAAAAATTTAAGGGGTTCAGTGAAATGTCTGTATAAATGACCTACACGACCACCGTTGCTACTTTTCTGCTCACATCCTGCAGGTCTGGGAGCAGAACTATGTGTAGAATTAAACGTGCAGAGGGAGCGTTGCTATGGCAATAACAGTGTTGCAACGCGTGGCCCCTCCTGGCTCCAAGCTGTCTGATGATGGAAACCAATTTAGCGGCTACCCTCTCATGGACTCTTTGCTTTTATTATGTCCAATCTCTTTGTTTATGCGTAGGGAGAAATGGCTTTATGAGGCTCTGTTGTCTCATGCTAGCGATTTAGCATTCTTAAAGCAGACCAAAACCTGTATGTCACAGTGAGACGCCAAAGGTCCACGGGAAAAGCGTGGATACCTTACTTTATGAATAAGACTGAGCGAGTTTGGGCTGTTGTTGGAGAGCGGACATGACTCCTGGTTTCAGAGGAGATAATTTACTGTGTATGTCGTTTGAATGTGAAATAATCCTAATCCAAATATCTGCGCTGTCCGTAATCTCGCTGCTGAATGTGAAACAGCCCGGAGGCCCTCAAAGAGTGGACTAATCTGTCTCTCTTCCACAAACCAAATCCGGTCTCAGACAATCTTCAACATTCTCCAGTTTCTCTGTGAGACTCAAAACCTCCAAATATTTTCTGTTTCAAATTTAAGACGCTTCAGTGCCACAGTATATCTGACTGACAGACAGAGACATAAAAACTACAGACACATAAAATCCCAGTGTGCGACACGGACACCGCCGGAACCTCCTGTAATGAACACTTTGAAACCTCTGATGGTGATGCTGAAGGTTTTTCTTTTTTTTTTTTTTTAATGGGACGGCTTTTTGCACGCTGTAGGAATGTAATTTGCCCTACAGCACAAGCTATAGTATGTCTTTGCAGCTTTATTTATGATTGTTTTACATTTTTATATTGCAGCGCTTATCGCATGCAGAATAAACACACACTGATAAAAGATGCTCTGTGAACCCACTTGTTTGTGCAAATTTAGCCACAAACACATTCGGGTCCAGAGAGTTGGATTTATATGAAATCTTTAAATTATTTCGTTTCTATTTTTTTTTTAATCATACCAAATATTTACATTTCTGACTCCTATTTGCAAAACTTAAATGCACATTAGTGTGCGTGCTTTATTGTAGACATTCATTTTTTTATCATTACCTACTTCGCAGTATTTGTTTTAATCTATTAAAAATGCTGCACAACATGTAAATGCAAAATTTAAAAATATATATATATATTCATATTTTTTTAATTTACAAACATTTTATTAAGACTAATTTTGTATTTAATTCTCTGTTTTATATTAGTCTTCACACGCAGCTCCAACTGTGAAGTTTTTTGGCGTTCTATAAAAAAAAAATAATTATTGAATTTTTTCAAAAAATATAAATATGGTGTTTAAAAAGAGAAAGGTGTTAACTCTAAGCTGCTGTTTTTTATGTTTGGCAGAGAAAACATGAAAATAAAGGTGTTCATACTCAGGTGTGCGCCTAAAAACAGCAGAAACCTCACGACTGAGAACGAATGACTGACCACAAACACCCACAAAGCTCTTGAAAAAAAAAACTTTAAGAGCGAATATCAAAATGAGGAGTTAGTTTGTATAATTATTAATATTATTTTTTGTTTGTTGTTGTTTGCTTGTTTGTTTTTTAATCAGTAGGCTGAGTGAGGCTGTTTTTCAGAAGTTAAAGTCTGCAGGCTGTCCTCCATCATGCAGAGCAGCTGAGTGTCTGCGCGGAAAAACTTTCAAACTAAAACTTTAGAATTAGATCTGTATGAGTCACACCTCACTGCGTGTGTCTGTGTGTGTGTTTGTTACTGTGTGTGTGTGAGCTGCTCTCACGCACACAGTAAAACAGTAACACCCTGCTGCTGTTGACTCGCTTCTCTCGCTTTCTCGGGTTCAGGCTGTTTGTCGGTGCTCTCGCGCTCTTACCGCCTCCCTCTTCCGCCGCTCCTCGCGGGCCTCCGTCTTCTTCAGCTCGGCTTTGAAGGCTTGCGTGTCCCCGTGCTGTCCGTCCTTGTCCAGGATGTCCATTAGATAGGAGATGTAGCTGGTGGCGAGCCGCAGAGTCTTGATCTTGGACAGCTTGGTGTCCGCGGGCACGTTGGGGATGCACTCCCGCAGCTCCGCGAAGGCCGAGTTGATGCTCTGGGTCCGTCGCCGCTCCTTCCTGTTTGCGGTTGGCCTCCGCTTTACGGTGCGGATGTGTGTGTGGTGGTGGTGGTGGTGCATACTGACAGCAGCTCCATTTACAGAGATGGCGCCGGGACCCGGGACCAGGCCGCCGGGGCCGTAGTGGTGGTGATGGTGCTGGTCCAGGCCGCCCGTGGAGCCGCCGCCGCCGCTGTTGCCATGGTACTCTGGGCTGTAACTGGGAGCCAGGCCGTACTCTGTGGGGGACATATCCGCGTGGCTAATGAGCCAGCTCGTGAAGTACGGAGGTGCCCCCGTGTCCTCGTGACAGCGCCCTGCCGCTGTATGCAGAGAGCAGTGGTGGGTGTCGTGGTGGTGCATGACCGGGTGATGAGGAAAGCCCGAGACCAGACTCATTTTACCACTCACACAATCTCTCACACACGCACGCACGCACTTTCTCTCTCACGCACGCAACCACACGCGCAAGCGCAGGTCCTTGTGTCAGTGAAGTGGTCAAGGGCCGTCTGAAGCTGAGCTCTGCATCCTGACTGAACTCCTTCTGCAGCGGCACACTCTCTCACAACGCACCGCCTCTGGCCGCTTGGTCTCGGACACAGCAGCGGTCTCAACCCCGCACAGTCCTGCGGACTTCCGCAGGCACGCTCTTCAGTCCGCAGTGCTCCTCCTCCTCTAAGATATCGTCCCTCTTCGTCCTCTCAATGGAAACATTCCTCCTCTTCCTCCCGCAGTCTGTCACAACATAGCGGACTCCTCCCGCTCCACTCCCAGCTTCAACTCTGCGCGAGGCCTCTCAGCCGTTTGGCCGTGTGGAAAGGCAGCAGCTAAATGTGTGTGTGTGTGTGTGTGTGTGTGTGTGTGTGTGTGTGTGTGTGTGTGCGCGCGCGTGTGTGTTTGTATGTATGCAGGCTGCAGGTTACGACTGAGACTGAGACTGAGCAGAGAGACAGCCGGGCCGAAAGTATGAAAGAGAAAGAGAGAGAGAAAGAAGGAGAGATGGTGCTGCGGGGGGGGGGGCGGAGTCGTCGTCGCCCCCCCCCCAATTCTGCAGCTCTGTTTACCTCTCTTAAATGTCAATGGGCCTGCTAAATTGTCCTGCAGGCGCATGCACACTTTACACTTCTTTTTGAGGGTCACACGCACGCATGTGCAGAGCAGACGTTCTCCAACCAAAGGAAACCTAACAAAGATCTGATTTTAGTAACTCATTATTAAAGTTTCCTGGTGTTTGATTTGATTTTTGCCCTGATTTACAGGTTTATGATTATTTAAATGCAATAATCATCACTGTATGGTTTTAGTGTGTGTGACTACTGATGCAGAGCTGCTGTTGGGAACTGTGCAGTCATTAATCTGGATTCTGGATCTGTTGCCTATGCTCGTGCAGGTTTGCGTGCTACATGCATGGACCATGCTGCAGATCAGTTTAGGTCCTTGGATTGTTGATCGTAAAACTATGAATATTTACAGATGAGCAGGGAGCAAGACCCTGTGAGTGCGAGGAGTAACTTTCCGCATATTAACAGGATGTCCGATCTGACGCTAAAGGCCCAGACAGACAGACAGACAGCAGGCGGACAAACAGACAGACGGACAGCAGGCGGACAGTAGGGACTGTCGAATCTGGACTTTATTTTATTTCCTATAAAATAAAAGGATTTTAAATTTGACTGGAAACATTACAAACAGGGATAAGCCACTGTTGAGTCTTCTAATGTCACATGTCGATGACTGTGCATTCTTATAAGAATGTTGTTTCCGTTGTTTGCATGAAATAAATCCAGTATTTTTTAATAATAACGACAACAACAATGACAATAAGGATTAAAAAATGAATAATAATAATAATAATAATAATAATAATAATAATAATAATAATAATAACCATTATTATTATTATTATTATTATTTTGTAGGAGTAGGGCATTAATGACTTTTTAGTTTCCTGTATGTATCCTCCTTGTTACAGAGAATTCTGCGTGATAACGGGATTAGCTACGTGGTAACGTGCTATAAAACGGGTTCACCTCGAATTTTTGCCTTGATTCAAGCTGTAAAATGAAACGAAAAGGACAAATATCAGCAGACACACGAATTTCGTCTCATTATAGACATGATCGGGCTTTTGTAAATATATATATATATAAATCATTTTAATTAATTCTCCACAGGCCTTCATTTGAAAAATAAATTATTTATGAAAGCAAGTTAAAGCTGAAAATGTGCAGATTAAAAAAAAGGCCAGCGAAAAGCAAAATGAAACAGCTTAATGTGAATTTAACAAAATGCGTGTTAGGTTAATGCTACCTCAAAATAATAATAATAATAATAATAATAATAATAATAATAATAATAATAATAATAATAAACACGCTCTAACCTGGATTAGCTCCATCGGGTCCTCCGTCCCGGCTCTGAACTCGCTCTGTGCCCGGCCCCCTTACTTCACAGTGTCCGCTACACCTCCGGAGCTCTCCAACTCTCACGCAGTCGCTCAGACCGATGTTGTGTTCCTCGGTGCGGTATAAACCATTCCTATGACTGTTAAATCTTCTGCAGACCGAACTGGTTCATTCTGCAGTTTAAGTAGATTTATTTTCCGGTCGATAACTGCGGCTCTGTCTGCAGAGCCTCTTAAACTAGTGCAACTCGAAGGGAGAGTGGGAACCCATTTCACAGAGTTGAGCCTCATTCCTGCTCTGAATGTGTGACCTTATTCCGAGATTTTGGGATTATTTCATGTCACATGTCCTGCTTAAGAGGACACATTTCTGCAGATGAACTGTACTATAATATAACCTCACGTAGAAAATATAGTCATTCATAAATCATTTGTATTTAAAGCTCTCCAAATAATGAAAAAAAAATTCCTATGTATTTTTCACTTAAAATCCGAGGGAAAAAAATAAAGTAAACAAAACAAGACTGAGAAATGTAAGGCATTCAGATGAGGAACCATGCTGCAAAGGTGGGATGATAGGGAAATGATACCATAGGAGAACAGAAAATAAACAGCACAGACAGACAAGGGGTGAGAGTTTATTAAGTTTTACAGCCTTCCTTTTTATATATTTTTTCATCTTACATTAATGATTCAATAAAAAGAGTGAAATTTAATCATAAACGAGGTACAGCTTCTTTACATCAAGTTTAAAAATGAAGTCAAAGTACTACTGGATCATGGGGAACACTTCTTGAATTCCAACTCTTTACCCCTGAACAACTTCAGTCACCCAGAGCTAAAAAAAAAAAAAAAAGATGCCTGCTCCCTGCACCTGCAGTGATAAAAGTACTTTAAAAAGTGTTAAGAATCAATTTGTCTTTTTTATGTTTCCTGGACAGGTTGAACCAAAGCGCAATTTGTTGCTCTGTACTTGTGACATGTGCATTAACAGTAAATTCAATTCAATTCAATTCAATCAAAGTCATGTTTTGTGTGATAAAATCAATCACACAAATAGTGTTGTGGAGGGCCTACCTATGGGCATGATGCTGTAGCATGCAGGCTATCTCCCAGTTAATCTTATCCCCTGATAGTAGCAAATGATACCAACAACAATGGCTAATGGCTAAGTAACTAAAGACTCTGATGTGATGTCACTCATGGTTTTGTCACCCATCCTCTGAGGTAAATGATGCACCAACACACCTTACTCTGTTTTCTAACAGCTGCTGATAACCTGTTGTTACAGGCCGAGCCTGTCCCTTTAAAAAGGTGGCTCTTGGGTAATGTAGGAGCTGATGTTAATGTTGAGGAAGTAAGCCTGAAGCAGTGCCATGATGTGAAGGTGTTTGCTGTTTGGCAGACTTTTTGAAAACTACACCGTATCTCCTGCTGCTGCCTTTGAGATTTACCTGGACTGTTTGTTACCTGCATAAGTGAGCCAAATAGCCATCTCACAGTTAGAAACAATGGAGCTGAGGGAGGTAACACTGTGCAGGTGCTGCCTCAGGTGAGTGGTATATCACCACAACAAACATGCCGGCGCCAACCAGAGCAAAAAAAAAACTAAGAAGGTTTGGTCTTTGGGCAATGAGACATTTACGAATATACTGCCTTCAGAGGGGACTGGTAAGGTCAGGAAGTCGTGTAAAGGAAAGGCAGAGCAGTAACCCAAGGGGAATACTGTAAGTCAACACTAACACGGACGCCCAAAAAACTGCTGGAGATAAGATGTCAACATTAATCTGCATGACCAACAAAATACTGTTGTAACACGTTTCTTATTTTTTCTTTTTTTTATCTGTTTCAGTTTGGTCAACATTATACATATATTATGAAATTATGACAAAAAAGTCTAAACATAAAGGTATTAACTTAAAATGAAGTGGATTCCATCAGCTCTGCCACCTTTTCAAGTGTCATCTGACCCATCACAACTCCTAATCTCCAATATTTCAGAAAGTTCAATGTCATTTAACCTTGAAAAAAAAGAAAAAAAGGGGCGCCGTTGAACATTTTTTAAAGCCTCCATTTTCCAGGAACCTGATGGGGATCTAAAAGTGAAAGCACTCCTGAGGCTATGATCTGGCCCTCTGAAACCATTGTGTTTGACCGTGTTGTATAGAGTCTTCATCTTCTCTGTCAGCTTCAGCCTCTCTGCACCGCCCTGCTGTGTCAGGATCCAGAATTCAGCTGATGCATCAGGTTTTATTTAGGTGGTGGTTGTTATTTTTGTAAACGTGGATCTGAAGTGAAAGCACCAGCAGCCCAGGCAGAGAGAGCTCAGAGTCTTGATGGAGGTTGTTTTCTGCAGTGAAGGACTTCCGTACCGCTGTCAGCCCTACTTTCAGACTCCAGCATGAGTCTGAAATTATGAGGGTGGATTTACTAAAGTAGGTGGGCTCAGAACAGGGATTTAAAACTGAAGTGAAGAGGGTCACCGCTCATCTCAAGATCTGAACTAAATATTTACCAAGGAGCTGAATTGGTATGAATTTCATGGACCAGTGGCAAAATGAAAAAGTACAAGAAGCAGCACCAGTAAAGACAGAAAGATGAATTTAATGTCCTATGGAGAGAAACATGTTTAATAATAATAATAAGAAGAAGAAGACGAAGAAGAAGAAGAAGAAGAACAAGAACAAGAAAAATACATTTTATTTATAAGTGCCTTTCTGAGCACTCAAGGGTTAGGGTTACGGGTTAGGGGAGTAGAGCGGCTGAAAGCTCTGCCCCCCATGGTGCACACTCTGTACACTGATCTAATAAGCAGTTTTCTGTTTTTCATGGCAACAGTCTGCTCCACTTAGCAGAGTCTTTTTTAGAGCAACAGTCTGCCAGTGGCGATTGCTCTAAGACTGCAAGGGAAGCTCAGCTTCCCTTAAAATGTCACCCCCCCCAAAAAAAGGAAAAAGTGGTGAAATACGGTACTGCTGTGTGTTCATTTCATTAA